CAGTTAGGAAAAGAATGTGGGAATTTGGCCTTCATCAGCCATTTTTAAGTAGGAAACATATTAAGGAAAGTTTATTATTTGCACAGGAATACATTAGTCGCAGAATTTCATTTCGGAAAAGCATTTCCTTCTGTGATGAAGTACGGTTCTTAGACAAGTCCACAAAGTCGGCACATACGGTCATATGCGGAAAGAACTTTCCCAAAGAACAGACTGCTTCGATATCAACCTTCAAGAACTGTCGACGCCTCATGGTGTGGATGGCGATCAAGTCCAGTGGCGACCAATCTGGCGGTCGACGAAAGAGAACATTTACAGTTTCGTCTATGTCAACATTGTCAAGGATGTATTTGGTTATAATGACATTCACAGGCGTCGAAGGCATAGTATTATACTACAAGACAATGCCCCTGCTCACTGATCAAAGGAGATATGATTATAATTAACCTTACGGCTATAATCTAATTTTTTAAGACTACAGCCAGCCTTTCTGCATGCGGCCTGCGAAAAATTTTCATCCCGCCCAATAGTCCCGACCTCAATCCAATTAAAAATATATTCACCTTAATCAAGCGAAACTGGCACAAGCCTCCGACATGCCTTTCAATGGAAAATAAATTGGCGTTCGTTCTTGATAATTATATAGACCAAACCACAATTGACAACAGAGTTGTATCTATGTCCTTCCGAATTACTGCTGTTATTCACGCAAAAGGATACTCAACAAAATATTAGTATGTTACCTATTTGTTCCTCATTTTGTCTTTCCATTCTTTTTTCTCACACTTTTGTCATTTATGTAACGACTTTTTATCCCCGACCTGACTTACTGCCCTTTTTTTGGATTTGACATTTTTGGTAAAACATATTAGTCTCTTGGATAATAAGTGATACTTCATGTATCGAAATATGCCTCCTTTTAAGGATTTATTTTTCTTTTCACGCAGTATAACTTGCGGGTCCTTTAGGTAAATGCATTGCGAGCTACAACGGTTTTCATGCAGATTTGACGTTATTGCATGATCAACGGTGACATCTGTACAACAGCCGCCAAGCCAGATGGGATCTCACGGTGTCTCCTGAAATACTGCTCTTTTCAGTCAGTCCCTGCATTGATACACCTCATCAACTTATCCGTCATGGAGTCTAAGATCCCCGATGATTAGCGATCTGTGAGAATCACTCCTATCCCGTAAAGACCCTATTCTTCTGGTCCCAAATCTTTTCGTCCAACTGCCTGCTCTTCTGCACTACTGAAACTTGCAGAACTAGTTGTCTCGAACCTAATTACGCCGTTTTCCTCCGATTTCTCCGATCCTCGCTCACCCTCTCCACTCTGAGCTAATGGCTGCGAAGTCTAGCCGTAATATGCCCCGAAGCTTCCGTCATATGTCTTGCCGTACATCGGCATATCAGCACTCTGTACTCCCATTCCTAGCGCGCTACCTCACATGTTAAGCAACGGAAATGGAGAAGATGAGAGCCGACATGTCTCCATAACAGATGTGAATATCATATAAACATTTCACTTTGAGTATTCTATGAGCTTTCATCTTTGCACTTTTAACATCACCCCTTATCTTAACTTATCACTTGCTCTCCGGGAATAGGGCAATTTTTGCTGAAAAATTCAAACAATCCGAATACGATTTATTGGACGATTCTTCAATCCGACATTTCGAGATACTTCGTTATTTAAAAGATGCTAGTTAGATAATATAAATTTAGATGAATTCACTGACTGGAAGATTTCTTCTCTACTGTCCAACTCGTCCTCAACTTTCGGCCCTCAGTCATGGTATTCGCCCAAAACAAACGTTGGTAGGTGTTGATCGTTCTTAATTCTTCCTTGATTAACCTTTTCCTCTCACTATCAATTAGCGCTCTCTCTTAGTTGCTTCCAAACATACTTCCTTTTGGAATGACTTGAAAATTTATTTGCTTGTCATTTTTGAATGGAGACTGTCTTAAGCTTAACACTGACCTTAATGTAAGGAAGAAGATGCGACCTCTGGAAAGGCAATTTTGTTGTCCTGAGCTATCGGCTCCACACAAGAGGCCATCATCAGAAAAAATTAGAAAGCAGCAAACGTTGGTTACGCGTAAATGGGAGTGGGGGAGGGAGTCACACTTGTGACTGGTTCATGCCCACGCCATCTCGTCTTGTCTCCGCTGCGCGCGTCCTTGGATTTATGGCATGTGATCTTCGCGCCGTGTCTTATGTGGCAGCCTGCGTGCTTGGACAGGAACTGGGCCGTCATTTCTGGTCGCGAGCACGGGGGACAAAATAACAGGGCGATATATCCACATGCCTGTTGATGGAGTTGGAGTCGGATACTCAGGCCTCCAGTAGTTCTCGCCCCGTCTTATTGGCGGTGCGTGCCATTATCCGTGTGCCCGAGAAGTCGAATTCGTGGCTTTCTTCCAGAGTATGTGTGGTGATCTGGGACAGTGAGACGCCTTTCCGTACTGCCGGTTTGTGCTCCATTATTCGCGAGCTAAGTTGTTGCCCGGTCTGCCCTGTATAATAGCAAGAACAATCGCGATGTGGCACCTGATAAACGACGCCAGACTGCTCATATCCATCTAGTGGGTCTTTTACTTGCCTGACTTGTGAACGCATGATAACTGTCGGACGATGAGCGATACCCACGTAGGGCTCTGCAGTGATACTTTCGGTTGCTTCTGACATTTTGATGTACGGTAGAGGGTGCCAGAGTGTACGAAGGCAGTGGCCGACAAAGCTTGTCGGTTATCCATTCCTGGCCAGT